GGTGTAGTAGTACCTCTTCGGGCTCTTGGATACCTTTTTCTTGCTACGTGTGCGTGTTCTTTAGATCCTCAGATGGCTCTAGCACTTTCGTGACCACGGGCTGAGAGTCTTTGCTAGATTTTGGCATTTAGCAACTGGCATACGGTTTAATGTGAAGTCAACAACAACAACAACAACATGTGTTCCCCCAGACCCCCGACACTGCCTCAATTCTTTTTTTTGCATATATATTATACTTCGTCCATATTTTTTCCGTGTGAGGCACTCACACTTTCCAGTGGGGACCCTGCCTACTACAACAACGTGTGTGTGATGGTGCCAGCTCCGTCGTATGTGTACAGCAGAGGTCCCTGTCTAGTAGTAGTGCCGGTATGTACTCTATGTGCCCAGCAAATTCACCGGCACTACTATTCACAGCGGTAGTACTGACAAAAATGCTTGAAAAATTCAGTGTGTGCCGCCGAAAACACCGGCAGCACAATGTCTACCGGCACCGGCACTACTCAACCGGCACGAAACAGGGACCTCAACTGTGCTTTGAAGTAGCGCTCGTCCGGAATATGTGGTGCCGGTGAATTTTCTGGGCACATACCGTCACTAACCAGGAACCTCCTGACATTTATGCATGCATGTGTATCTTGAGCACCACCATTGGTCCAACCGAGTTCCGTGCTTTCCTTGTGTTCTCCATTTCGTCCGAGCTTTCAACAGACTCCTTACCGAAATACTGGCTGTGCATATGGGCAGCTGTACGTGGTGGTGTACCATCCAAGAAAAAGGAAGGCAAGATAGTATTCCTCTTCGGTGTGGTAGGGCCCAAGCGTCCAATCCTGTCTGTGATACAACGTGGAAGTGATCCGCTGCCTGCCGTGTTCTCCAGCTAAAATACTCAATAATTCTGTGCTGCAGATGGTGGCACGGGCCCGCGTACGCACACACGAAACAAGTTCTGGTCCAAATACATGCGTGTGTAGTGCGCGCTGTGTCGAATTGTTTCTGCCTTAACATGGAATGCATCATGTTGAGCTGTATGAGGCCGTACATATGCATATAATGACCATCGTTCCTTCAATCGTGTGCATGATGGACCCTTGGAGCGGGACCTCTTTCCCATCCCCACCCCCTCCCCCCTACGTCTCTTGGCCCGATTCACGGAGCGCAACCAGGGCGAACACAGCAGATGCGCAGGCCAAGCGAGCCAGCGAGACAGAGTGACAGCGTGGGAGCTAAAGAGAACCGTCACCAGTCCACGGTACAACCCCACCCGTTGGAGCACGTAGCGGAGCGAAGGAGCCCACAAACATCGCGCGGCTTTCACGAGGTGGCGCAGGTCAACTGAACCGATTACTGCACTGAACCAGCGCGCAGCTTGGGTATACAGCAGTACTCGCACCAAGGGACGAAGTGGTGCTTGTTATCCGCTACAGCACCTGCAAAGGGTGCAGCCAGCGTGCTGGCCTGTCTGTTGTGCAGGAAGGAGGCGAGGTATCTAAGGAAAAGAAGCGGGTACGCGGAAGAGACGCAGCAGCATTACGAGCACGGCGTGTGCGAGCAATTGCAGTTCAATCAAGGAGATTCTTCGCGAAAGGCTACACCCGAAGCCATCATCGCTACTGCTGCTGAGCCGTTTGGTTACCACCTGTCCCAACGCCCACGGAGAAGCGGTGACCCACCAGGGTTTGCTAACGTGGAGTCTATTTGGATACTAGTAGCCGCGGCAAGCGCGATCAGCCCGTGGACCTCCTCCAGGTGAGGGTTGTTTGATCGAGAAATGCACAAGATTTATCTCGGAGTGGTCTGGTGCCGCCGCGTTTAGGCGCGGGTTAATTGCCGCGCGAGGCATGAGGGACCAACAGCGGTTGCGCGGGTCCATTCGACTCATGCTGCTGTTGCTTGTTGATGGCTTGTGGTCCTTCTGTGGTTGTGAAGGCGTATGGTATGATTGAAGAGGATATGTTCATTTGCCAATATCTCAAGTGGGAGCGTGGCATTTTTCCCGGTGTTTCACCGACACGAAAAAATTTGACTTCACTCGACGGTCGAAACCCAAGCCGTCTGTCGCCCCGTTGTGCACGTGATGAATACTGCTGTGTACCTCGCAAAGCCACTATTACAGTCACAGGTTGTGGGTCCGTTCATTTCTCTCGAAAGTTTTCCTGGCGTGCTTTGAAGGTAGTTTCGTGAGTACACACTTGGACTTGATGGTCGAGGAGGGAAAGGGACGGAATCATCCTCGCGATAAAGAATTTGTACCAAGGGTATCGCAGGAGGAACTTCGGGGCAAAAAAAAAAACGCCAACTGGCCTGCCTCCTGTCTGATCCCGGCCGATCCGTCAATCACGTACAACTCGACTCCGAGAGTGTGTAGGCTGGCGCCAGAAAAAATGGAACGAACACAAGCATGTTGATTACAAAATGCGTGGTTGCCTTTCTTATCCAGCCGCGTACAAGACTGATGTCTTATCGTTGGTCAGCCGGCTACCGCGGTCGATTCTATCTCAAGAACACATCGCACACACACACATCCCGCACATCTCATTTCGCCGAGGGGAGGAAGGGGAAGGAAATCGACTCCTTAATGGCTTTTCCTCCTTACTGGCTTCAGCCATCTGCCTGTTGTTGAGGCTGACCACTCGCACGATCTCGGTGTTGTCGGCATCGCTCGGGTAGCTTTATGTGCGGTCGCTAGAGTTGGAGTCGAACAAGCCACTCGTGTAGGAGGTGACGAGTAGGTACAACGAGTTCAAATTGGATTGCTTCAAAGGCTGCAAGGGGTGCAAGACTCGAAGCCCGGGAGACCAACGCGTGTAGCAATATACGTGCTGCATCACGACATGGGGTTCCTGTGGCTGGGTGTCACGTCGATCCACGAAGGCACGCTCTCGCATGTCTGTCTCTGGGAGTGCCCGCACTAGAAGGGCATCAAATCATCCCAAGCCTGTCATCCGCACCACATAGTACGCCCCACTGGAACTCTCTTCCTGTGGATGATAGTGCGGGGTGCCCGCCATGGGGCTGTCAGTGAAATGGCCTGGGGCATTGCAGCGCTACTCAAGGCTTCACCACTCAATTCAAATCCCTCTTCCTATCGGTGTCATAAGACCGAAGTACCGTTCTCGGAGTGCACGTCAATCGTCACCTTTTCAAGGGTCCCGAAACCACCATCTTACCCACTTCCTCGAACGAGACTGTCATCTCGCAGAGCGCTTCTCAGTGTTGGTAAGGTCCAAAAAATGGTTCTGGCTACAGTTCTGCAAAGCGGGTGTCTTTTTTGTGATGGTGCTCTCCTTGTTCTCTCCGCTGGCGAAGACCAGATGGAAGCGGATGGCGACGCAATTCCAGCTGGGCCGGAGGACCTGATGCAGATGAACGAACCACAGGCAAGGGGGGGGATGTGTTTGTCTTGTCTTCGCTTCCTGACAACAGGGGCGACGTCAAGGCATTGCGATTTATGTAGAATTACAGTAGTTCAGCCAAAGGCCTACTCCTCAGGATACCACACCCCATCTCCTAGGATAGATGATACTGTTACTCGTCCACGAGGATCGCATCGAGACAGACTTAGGTATCTCGTGATGGGCTTGGTCGTCTCAAGTGTTAATTAAGGAGACCGTGCGTTGTGTGTTTGTTGTTCGCAACTCGTTCCCCAAGCTGTAGATTGAGTCGACCCTTACCTCCGTTTTGTTCCCGTGGCTTAGAGTAATGCGCCCATGCCAAGAACCACCTGTTGCACACTATCATTACTTTCTATTTCCCGTGAGCTGAGTGAGAAGGCGATACGTGCCACTACTATTTTTGTGTATAGAGTCAAGGTCCTCTGGTACTCTCGTGTATCGCGTTGTCCAGTCTTACCTTTGTGTTTCGGCTAGGCTAGGAACACAACGGGCTGTACACCTCGTATGCACAGCGGGCGCAAACTTGCTCGGGTGTCAGATGATACTCGTATACACCCCAATCGCACTTGATGGGGTAGCCATGCCAATGGTTCATGGTTGTGGCTTGTTGCGGCGGGTTTTTGACTTGGCAGGCGGCGTTTCTGAACGGGAAGGAGGTGACACAAAAGACAGGGAAAGAGCGCATCAACGATTTCTTGCGAAATCATGCGTGCTACGACCTGCTCAAGCACAGCGGGAAGGTGAGGACACACGTAAAACTATTCGCGGGGAACGTAAGGGCCTGTCTCACGGCATGGTCGCCAATGCTGCGCTTATGATATCCATCGCTCTAAACAAACGCATGTGCGGAATTTGCAAGGCTTGTAAACAGCCCTGGACCCGTTCCTGTTGTCCACGCCCCAAACTACCGCATTATAGCACCACCAGCGCAGCGTACTCCAGTAAGGCTACAATAATTTGGCGCGCGTGGAAGGGATTTGGGTGTCTCAACTGAGAACCACGGGTTTCAACGTATGTAACACAGCATGCTAAGATGCCGGTGAATCGCCTCTAGCGGTGGATGATGTTGTAAGGTGCAACATTGTCAGGTATCATTTGCCCGGCGTTGGGCGTACATTGCTTCAAAACGAGCCCAAGAGCATGCAGCCTTGTCCAGGAGGGCTGCCCCGCGATATAGTCGGGGAGGGGAGGTTTTGCATGATTTGTTGTCAAGTTTTTACAACTTTAATCGTGATTTTCCTCCACGCCAGACGGGGGATGGGTGTCATCGGGAGCGACATGCGCACCCTTGAACTGAGGCAAGACAGAACGATAGTAAAGCTTGAGCAGCTTCAAAATAGTTCTCGTTGGCATCCGACACCGTTGGTTGCTTCACCTACCTGTATAAGAACGCGATACCGTGACTAACGCTGTATTTTCCCCTCATGGCCCTCTGTTTCATATTCGCTCTTTCGTGTTTGTGCGTGTGTGTGATGATGTAATATTCACGAATGTCCCCAAGGTGGTGGTGTTCGACTCGAGTATTCCAGTACAGCTGGCGTTCTACGCGCTTGTAGAGCATGGTGAGTTGCATACGTGCATGTCCTTGCCCTCGCTGCTGAGATCAGGGAGACGATTCGAGTCTTGTTTCTGTTGGTTTAACAAGTTGAGATTGCCAAAGCCTCAGTGCATATCTCGGGACTGTACTGATCGGTACGCTGTTGTTTTCAGAAGAAAACGCACGATTGCGAAGAAAGAAAAAGTCAACAATCGTTGCCGTGTATTCCGCCAAATGTTCATGAGTTATGATATTGTCTCAGCACTATCGTCTATGGCGTCGTCGAGGCCGCGCTTGGGCGGTGTTTGCGTTGTCCGGTTCTCGTTTTAGTTCTGCGCGAGGTATATATAGTCTACATATTCATGCGTGCAACTTGTTCGCTTTGGTAACGTAACCAACACCAAGAGGGTTCACTTGACTGGCCTCTGGCGACCATGTCCATGCCCATGTCCGTGCGTTTCGAAGACGAGACGAACGCCGCCTCAATAGTTGGAGAATGCCACGGTGCTTCACGACTGCAGTGGATGGCAAGACATGACGCCACACAGACCAGGAGGAAGGAGGACAATCCTCCTGCGATTTTGTTGTCGTCCGTCGGGCGCTGGTGCTTTTGTGCTTTTGTGCTTTTGTGCTTTTGTGCTTTTGTGCTTTTGTGCTTTTGTGCTTTTGTGTCTGGGTAGTGTTGTTGTGGTGTTTAGCGACTCGACTGACTTGTTTCTTGTGTGCGGCCCTCCCGTGCACTGCTCGCTCGCACCGTGCCGTGCCGTGCCGTGCCGTGCCGTGTCTGCCTTGGTCATGTTCTTGGCCTGGCCGGGGTTACACCAGACATGCAGGCGGCGCCTTTGTGGGACTCTCGGGAACGACGGTTTGTGGGGCTGATGACTGTGACAGATTTCATCGACATACTCCGGCACTACCGGTACGTTTTTTTTTTTCAGCGAGGTGTGTACGAAATGGCGTCTTGTGCCTGTAGCGTGCGTCTCCCGGCGTGTTAAGTTGTGGTGATGCTGTTGTGTTCTTTCACATAGATTGCTACGGGACAGTAGTTTTCTGTAAGAGCTACCGCGTGGCGGCTGGCCACTCTGTGTTTCTCTTCCTGTCCTCTTGGCCCCTTTTGCGGTGGAGGCGCCAGTTGACCCACAGACTCGATAACGTAGCAAATCCTCGCACGACAAATGGTTTTTCGTTGCCTCTCTTGCGTGTATGTAGCCTGTGGCCTGGCAAGTCTTACGTGTCAATGTCTTCCATGTGTTTGGTTCCGGCACCGATCAAGCTGGAGAGTACTCCGCATGTGCACTGCACTGGTACGTTGCTGTAACTGCTGTGTTCCAAACAGGAAGTGGCGACGTTTGCATTTCTTGCGCGAAAAAACAATCAAACACCCATATTGTAGTCGGTTTCAGTTTTTGCTGTACCGACATGTCGTAGTAAAACTCCCGCGGGCAGCGTGTCTCTGCCGCTGTTGCCCCGTCCGAGTTTGAACAATTAACCCTCCGAACTTGAACAAGCACGAGTTGCTAAAATTCCCACATGTACAGCACTATTCTACTCGGTGTCGAGGTCAATGACCTGCCTTGACGCTTCTTGCTCCTCCTCGTCCCCCTATCTCGCCGTGCCTGGTGCATGCCGTTGTTCTCGTTCCTTGCTAACGCTGCCGTTCGTGTCATCTCGGATGGCGCAAACGCGGCGTTTCCTCTTGCTGTGCTGGCTGTGACATTGCAGCGGGAGTGGGGTGGCGGTGGAACAGTTAGCATCTAAGAGTATAAAGGAGGTGCTCTCGGAGCCGGAGGGCCAGCGACTTGCTCAGGTGATGTTCAGCAGCTGTTTCTCTGTAGCCAGTTTATACACAAAAAAATCTCGTGAAGTTGCATGTTTACGCACACCTGCTGAACACAGTTCGTCAGGAGTTGGTATGGTCGATGCACCGCAAAAAATCCGAAACGTTTTCCCGCCACCATATGCTTGGGGAAGGAGTTTTTTTTGTTTGTCTTCACTTTAAATCAGCGCTCACAGCACTGGTGTCGTTTACCACATCCATGGTCACACAGAAGAGCCCCTCTCTACTCCCCCTTCCTGCGGTGCTTTGCCTTCGATAAGAGTTCAGCACTCTCTTCCCTCTGCGTACACACGAACTAGCGCTATCCACTAGGCCAGAAGCGGAGTGGGGGATTGCTAAGAAATCAAACATACTAGCGAGTGCCGTTTGTTCAGACGGGTGTATCTCCTCCGCACGGAGCAAGGGCCGAAAGCCTCACACTCGAGTGGGCAACACCGCTGGGTTATTTGGACATGGTTGCCTGCGGGTGGCTGAGCAAGTACCGAAGAGGCAGGGGGATGGCACCCCCCCTTCACCGATTTCCAAATTATGCTTCTCGTCAATCCCCGGACTGTTGATTTTTTTTGCCCGAGCAAAGTAACAATTCTCGAGCTATCGGATTGCACAGGTTGTTTTGCTGCGACATCTGAGAATGCAGGAAAGCAGTCTGCTGTTGCACAACATCTGCGCATGGTAATTGCTCACGCTTGTGTGATGCTACTTGAGCTCAACATTTCGTAGGTCATGTGCAGTTTGCCAAAACGCCAGAGAATATCAGACGCCACTTACATTGTAAGAGAGCTACGGCCGAGGGCTTACGTTAAAAAAATATTACGGCAGTGTACGAGGATTTGCTTTTGCCATCGCCGATAGTCCACGGGTTGGTGCAGGAGTATGAGACCTATCCCGTCCCCGTAGTGGGCGACAATGATATATCACGGTACTGATATCATAGCATGCCTTGGCTCGTGGATATGTTACAAAAAAAGAAAACGCTCGCCCATGTTTCCCTGCCTTGCATGTTACCGTCAACATGATGACTCACGGGCGGCTATTGAATCAATTCAGGAGGACTTCGTGCACGTGGATGCGGAGGTTTCCCTGTTGCAAGCCGCGTCTCTGTTCCAGAATCGGCGCGTCAAGTTCTTGCCGATCGTCGTCCCCGGAAGTGCTACGGTATTGGCTCTCATCTCGCACGTAGAGATTTTAGAGGTACGTACGTGAGCAGACGGCTGGCTGCAGGAATGGAGAAAACGGTATAAGGTGTATGAATCGTATCAAGTTGGAATCCTCCTGGAGGAAGTTACGAGGTCTGGCGCTCGAATTGTGTCAAAGTATGAAGCCCTGCTGGAGGAAATTATTGCTCGACCGTTGTTTTGTGTAGTGTGTGCAGCCGGTTTTGGCCAACGGCAGTGTGACAAGAATGCCGGTTGCCTACATGTCCGAATAGTTTGAGGCGTACGATGTGTGATGTAGTGTGACAGAACAGGTGGGGGAGGGCGTAGGCATTGTTTACAAATTCTTGTTCTTGTCACAACTGGCCCGTTGTTTATCACCTCTACGCATTTCGGGGGCATGGGTTGCCCCATGTACGCCGCATGCTCCCCCCCAGCGGTTTAATAATCTGATCAGCGAGGTGCAGTGGTGTGATCGGGAGAGGGTCGGGGAGCAAAATCTGACAAGCATGTCTTGTTCTTGCGTAGAGTAGAAATTCCTGAAATTACCCCTCGGCTAGTGGTCCTGCTGTTGATGGTCTTGTGAAGCTTGCGAGTCTCGCAGCAGTAGTCAACATGTACAAGCGACGGCGGAGGGTACTGCCAACAGCCGCCTTTGCGCGACGCATCCGCGAGTCTCTTGTTTTCTCCCGCAGCACCCATGTGCCTTGAACTCACTTCTTCTACAGGCAGCCTTAAAGTACGTTTACACGCGTCAAAGTTACCGCACATTCAAGTTGCTCCTCACGGTCAGAGGCAAGGAAGGAGGGTCGATCTTTCGACGAGCCGATCCCGTCATGTGAGTGTCATCCACCTGCCCGTTTCTTACGTAGCTGACGCTCGAGTGTCCCCCCCTTGTTTCGCACGCAGTTCCTGGTGACGACGTTTCGTGAACAGCAACGACTTTTCGACGATCCTATTGCGGAGCTACGGATAGGGATATTTTCTGACAGCGTGGTGACCGTGCAAGAGCACGCCTGCCTGTCTGAAGTTCTCGATCTCCTCGAGCTCCACCGTGAGTGTGCCTGCCCCCCTGATGACGCGGCGTTATTATTTCTCTCTGTTTTAGTCCTGCCGCATGCCCTTCTCGCCAAAGTCTTGCCGTATGGTGTGTTGGGTAGTGAAAGTCGAGATTTGGATGAACTCGTTGCCGATGTGCACCCAGTCTAATCAAGTCTGCTGGAGCTTGCTTCATGGGCTACTTGGCTCCGCGTTTGAAGCAGTGGCATGATTTCCTCATGGCTTGTTGCAATCTTTGGCTCCCGGTCAATTGTTTTTTCACGATACAATCAGTTTTTGGCAACTCTCTTTGAAGCTTTGAGAGGAAGTACAAGCCCCTTATTTTCATTATCGACATTGCAAATGGGCACTTCTACGTTGCAAAATGATAAAACTCCTGCTCGATTTTTTTGCATGTTTCGGCCTCAATTTGTCTCAATCTCATGCGGGCGTCTAATTCCATCACAAAGTATGTCCATGCCTTAGCAACTGAAACACGCTTCGCCTGCTCTGCCACCCCTTTCTAAACATGCCTGGTTGATTGTTGATTGTTCGCTAAATTTTGGTGCAGGTATTGGAGCGGTGCCTATCGTAGATGCAGACGGGCGAGTAGTGGGGATATACAGCCGATCGGATATCACGTTTTTGGCGTCAGCAGCGGACCCAGGGGGGGTACTTGAGGTAAGTTGCGACATGGACGGGGTTTCGACCGGTCTACGGATGGCGTTTTTCTCGTCCCCTTAGGAACCCGCTGATCCTCGACATGTTACTCTCCTCCTGCTGTGCGCGCGGACGTGTGATTATGGTGTGGTTGTGGTTCGTGTTGGACAAATGAAACAACCCATCCTCCCACAGCCCAGTGGCAGCAAGAGTTGAGCGATTGTGCGGACCTCTCGTTCGGGCCGACAGTTTTGAAGGAATAAAGCAAAGTGTTTTTCCGGCGTCTGGGTCAGGTGGTCGAGGGAGAGGGGGGCGATCCGGGGCGTGCTATTCGAGTCTTGTGCAGTGGTTCGGGTTGCAACGAAGAGGAGGATGGACCTAGTGAGTGCTACCCGTTGTAGACCGTAGGTCCCCAGCGGTTTTAACGCCTATTGGATTTTCATCATTACTCGGTGGGTGCCAGTGCCTCTACTGTCGTCCAATCATGCTCGCCGCGATTTTGTTTTTTCTTCTTGTCGCTCCTGGAGAACTTGGACCGCAAGCTGAGCGACATCTTGGGACAACCAGGGAACGAGGGACTTCGGGATCGACTGATAACGTGTTCCCCGCAAGACACGCTTCAGGTATATGATATGCACAGGGTGACTACCGACCAAAAGTACCGAAACAGCGAACGCCTCCAAGTACGAGCGCGGTGTACGGTGCTTCGTTTTCCCTCCGTCCGTGGGCTGGGGCCCAACTAGTAGAACCTTCGCAAAAGTAGCAGGTGTTTAAGTCAACAAACTTCTGTTGTGTGAGCTGTTGAGCTTGGGAAACGTCACACCGCAGCTGGCAGCCGGGTGTGGATTGGTCTTGCTCCCTGCTTTTTTTTTCATCTTGCACCACCCCTGTGCTCGCCGATGAGCCCAATCCGGTGGGATCACTTGCAAAAGTGCATCTATCAATTTGCGTGATGTAACGATCGCTGTATGCCCCCCCCCCCACCCCCCCAATCGCTGTTTGCCCTGTCTACTATGACGTGCTTGCGCGGCAGACGGTATTCGAGAAGTTCGCAGACTTTCGGTTCAAGCGAATCGTTGTGGTGGACGAGGAGGCAAGATGCAAGGGCATAATCTCCGTTAGTGATCTGCTTGCCTACTTCCTGTGACGTGACTCGTGCGGGCCTCGTACCGTACGTTCGTTCGTTCGTTCGTTCCAAGCGTGCCAGCCGCGGCAACTCTGTTGTTGGCAGTCGCCGCCGCGGCTGGGTTTGTGTGGTTGTGCTGCTGTGTGTACGAAGGGGGAAGGGGGTGGAAACAGGAACACTGGGGTTTCTATGTCGTCGTTTGTTTTCTTTCGTGATAATTCTCGCTGCCGTGCCTATTAGAGGAGTTGAGTTGAGTTAAGTTGCACTTGGGAGCAGGATTTTCGACGGCGAGCGGCAAGACGCCACCCAGATGCTGACCTGGAAATTTCCTGTCGGAAAAAAAATTCTTCTACTGTGTGTCTCCGTTGTGTGCCCTGAATTATCGTCGAAGTAGTATCAATGTTCAGTTAGAGACGAGATACGAGCCTACACCAGACGTTTTGTAGCGTTTCAAAGTTGCGTCATGATGTACTTGAGTAAAGAGGAAATCGCAGCAGTATTAAGCGAGCGCCCACGGCACCGCACGCGGACCCACGCCGTCCTGCGGCGAACGGTTGGCTGGTGCTTGCTGCTGATCACGAGTTATTTTCTCTGCGGTTGGGCTGTTTCGCGAGGAAAGGACGAGGGAGAGACAGAGAGACCGGCGTGGTCAGGTTAAGGAAGGCTCTGTAGATTTCAGGAGCCTGTCCCAATGTGTGATTGTTATTGCTTTCCTTCACGCGTGAGGCCAACCAAATCAGCACATCGTACAAAGATTTAAAGAAACATAACGCACGGTACTTGTTGGTTGTTGCTGACAAGGCTCTGGTTGCACTGCTACAAGAGCACCTTTAGTGTACACGGCATGTCAGTGTTTTAGCCAGTCGAAAGGATCGAAGGTACAGTAGCTTGCTTGATACGGCCTCGCGGACAGGGTGTGCGGTTTAGAGCGGTTTATTCCCGATGTGTGTAATGTGTCGTTGTGCTAACGTCTTTTTTTTAAATATTGTCGCTTTGGTGCATATGTGGGTGGATGAATCGATGATGATGATGATGTCACTTGTTGTGGTGTATCAATGCCATATTTATGTCAAATGCCGCCAAGTAGGATGTTGGCAACGTGTTCGTCTTTGATGACATTTTCCAGCAGCCAGGCGGCAGTTTAATGAGGCAAGGGCTCTTTTTATCACGTAGTAGGTCTCTTGGCGGTGTAGCCCTTGTTGATTGGCAGCAGGCCGCACTCTCACACGAAAGATCGACCAACCAAATCAGTATAGTACCAATAGTTAGGAAAATGTGCGACGTTCTGTGTTTAAGCTCGCGATGCTTGACGTATTGCTGACGTCTGCCTTTCGGCCTGAAAGAAATGAAAAGGAGTTCTCCTTTGCTCTGAGTTAATCTGTCCCCTTGACTCGTGGCTCGTGCTCGTTTCGAACATTGATCAACACTGGACCACAGAATAAATGAGCCAAATCAGTGTGTCCGCCCTGCCTTCACATGAGGTGATTCTGAGAACCTAAAGGGGTTCGCTTCTTTGCGCTTGTACTGTGCACGTTTCGTATGCCCACACATACGCATCCGAGGATAGTTCAGTCTGCCCAAATATACTTCTCGAACCGGTTTCAGGCTGACGACACAGACATGTGTGTTCAAAGCAGCTGGCCCGGCTTCCACGAGCGGTCCTGACGCTCCCGAATGGTGCTGATCGTTGCTCTGAAGCAAAGTCGACACCGACATAACGCGATTTTGTGGGAGCTACGACAGAGTGCTTGACATCTGCCCCGATGGCGAGGTAAGTTTCCTCCGCGACTCTTGTTTATCTCTGCCGAATAAATCGGTGCGGCTCAAATAGTCTTGTATTGCTTTCAAAACCAATTTTTTGCAGCCGTTTACAGGGCAACCAGGGTAGTAGGATACCAGCATAAACCAACGTACACGGAGCCGAACCAAACGTTTTCTGGTGTTTGTGCTGGTTTGCAACGACAGACGAAATTCGGAGAGAAACTCGAGAGAGGAAGGAGAATCCATCGAACCCGAACAAAACACCAAAGGTCCAAACAGCCAAACAGAACAACACTACACATCAAACCCTTCGTTCGAAAAGATGGGGACGCCGTAGCGGACGGCGCGGAAACAAGAGGCAAGGACAAATACATACAAGACCAAGCAGGCCAGTCGATACCCACATCATACTCTATTTCAGACCAACAGGGATTCGAATACAAGGTCAACACAACAAATGAGCCGTATTGGAATCAGGGGCATCATGCTCCATGCTCCAGGCTTCCGCCCCTTTATACAACTCTACGCTAAGCAAACCATGAAATACTGCAAAGATGACTGGCTGTGGTGTCGTGCACAGTGAGCGCCGACAAGTTAGACCGCTTCCTGCTAACAGCGGAAAAAACGCTAATCCCCAGTTTCAGTAAGTCATGGTGCGGTCGAGAACGGAAGCAACAGTAAATGCAAGCTACGAGCTGATTAAACACTCGGCTGAAACCGCTGTGCCCCGTTGCCTCTACAGGGCATCATTCTACCCTCTCGCTAACCTTTGGCAAAGCGGCAAACCCATGTGATTATACCCAACGTGAAGTGGTGGCGCGGGTGAACCGGCTTGCCAGCTGACGGCAGGCTACGTAAGCCAAGCTCATAGTCCACCTCAACAATCATGCTCCTGTATGGGTGTAAAACACCATAGCAATCACGAAGAAAAAATATAAAACACCTGAGACGTAACAACAATCGTCAGTCATCGACCGAGCACCATACCATCCGAAAGCGCTTTCTACCACACACACGCATAAACCCCACCGACGCCATCGGTGCCTCTGTTTCTACGCCGCCGTTTTCCACTTGAAACCATCACACACGTCACCAATAAACAATACGCCCAGCCTACCCCACCCCCTACGCTTGCTCCCCTTTGCCACAGCATCGATCGTGGTGCTCTGCAGGCTATATCGCTCCAGCAGGATATGTAAAATCCAGAAGCCAACCCGCTTCCCCACCAAGCACGCAAACACCAAAACGTTCCCACATGGTACGGATCTATCCTCTCACGCACGTCGCTCGAAAAAAAAAAGGTCGGTCACTGTGGTTGTTTCCATCATGATGTCTCCAGAGAAATAAACACACATACACACAACCAGTCACCCCGTGCAAAATTCCCCCCCAGCTCAACATTAACATTAACATTTACTTTCCGTCCACGACGAGACCATCCACCCGAAAGCCGCCGCCGGCAGTCACCCTTCCTGCCCAATTACCCTCTATATTTCGAATCCTTACGCTTCTTCTGCACAGCCAGCAGAACCTTTAATAGTGCCGTACCTCACCGTACACGCACACACCTCCCTCTCTCTTAATCTTCCAATTGCCGTCATTCTTTTCAAGCATTTTTTAGCCCATTGCAACGCCGGTGAAGTCACCTCCGGCATGGACGGTAGAACCAACCTCCGTGCCCATGGCTCCCGCCATCTGTCCCCTTCGTTGGTCCCTCCTACCTCTCGCTTGTCATGACCGCGATTTTCGACATGAACAACACAATATCAACCCTCGCAATCTTGACAACGTTGAATGCTTGCTTTGCTGCTATAACCGGACGGACTGCGATGCGAGATACTCCTGCTGCACTTTGGCGGTCTCCTCTGAAACGGCGTCCATACGAGCGAGAGTACCAAGCACGGCCACCTCGAGCCCCTTAAGCCTGTCCGAAATGCGTGCTTCGTTCTCGTGGTTGCGCTGGGAAAGGCGTGAAACGAAGGGAGGGGGGGGGGGGGGG